TGATTGGGACGCTTGGCATTTTGTGTCACTTCGGCATTGACCCGTCGTAAGATAACCTCAGGCTTTCCATTTTGGGAGCTTTTCGATGGGACAGGCTGGATAGAAGTGCTCTTGGCAGAGGTTTGTTGAGTCGCCGCTGCCGAGTTCACTTTTGCATGGGCACCTAGCTTCTTCGCAGCTTCCACAACGTGGTCCTCCTCTCTTTGGACAAAATCTGAAGAGTCAAAGTGGCGTTCAAGCTTCAAAGCTTGCTCCTTCACCGTCTTGGATGTGCCTTTGTCTCGATGGGTCAGCGCCATCTTCTCCGACCTGAGAACTGTAGAACTCTCGTCAAACAAGACATCTGGGCGCTGAACAGGCGCTAGCTCATGGTTGATGTTGTTTGCGTCATTGCTCGGGCCAATTTCCTTCTTCATTGCTGACTTGACCGCGACTAATGCCCGTGTTGTTCCACCAAACGCGGGACTCTTGTCTTTCGAATTGAGGCTTCGGGGATCCTTTTCGTCGTAGCTATCTGCAAATGTACTGTTCTTGCTGCCAACACTCGCCTGATCCCAGTTCGTCCCTTGGACAGAAGATGCTCGTTCTACGGTAGCGCCAGAGTCATCATCGGAGCCTTCCGTTTGGATCGACTGAGGAGAACCGAGGTCAGTGGAGTTCTGATCATCCGGCGATGTCTCGGTCACATGAATTTCCGAAGGAAGCGAATCATTGCCTGAGGAGGAATCCACTGTGCTGCGCTTTTGTACGGATGTTGGGCTCATGGGAGATTCTACTGCATTGTTCTCCGCTTGCGTTGCAGCACGAGAAAAAACGGCCTCACTCTCGTTTTCAACCGCGAGTTCTGACGAGTTTCTGTTTTCAACGACTTCTTCTTCGTTGTCCTCCCCGTAGATTGCATCATGATTATGCCGTGATGATACCGGCGGAGAAGCCAAGAAAGGAAATGGACCCGTTGGCGTTGAAGGTCCCCAGGTCGCACGATTGCCCGATGGATGCTGGCCACCGTGAGGAGGAGACGACTGATGGGGCAATACGCGTGGAACAAGGCCATCTCGTCCTTCTTCTTCTCCACTTTTGTGTTCGATTGTTCCTTCCTCTTCTGTGCGCATCTCCTCGTCTGGATCATCCTCCGTGCCGTGATGCCGACTCATGTGGGACTCAGAGGTGTCATCGGGTTGACGGTTGCTGCTGTTGCGAAAGCCGAGACGCCGAGGTGATGGGATTGGAGACGCAGGAGAAAAGAAAACTACGGGAGATCTACTAGCAGAACGTTCGTCCTTTTTGCATGAAAAGAATGATTCGTCATCCTTGTCGTCCTCGTGATCATGGGCGACTGCACCGCCGTTATTTTCGGAAGGGTTGTTTTCGTCTCCATGATTGCTCTTCACGCTGCTGGGTGGAGACGACGCAAACGGAAAGCAGTAGCGACTGCCGAGATGAGTAAGAGACTGAGGCGACGACAGGTCTGTGGCAACGCCGTCGCCATTGTTGACGCTGTGGGTGTTGCCCATACCGGTAGCTTTGTTGTGCTTTTTGACCCTGGCGTTGTGCGCGGTGAATTGGCGGGGTTCTCGGAACAACCGGGACTAAACAGGGAATCGAATCCCGCAAACGCTTCGCCTCATGAACATCCGTCCACGTGAGGTGCTGTACACAGTCGTACCGCTACAGTGTACAAATACCCAACCTGCTGCATGATCAAGGTCATAATTCGAAGCTATTTATTTTTTATTTGGCTGGGACAATCAGACTTACTTTTCTTGTACAGTAACACGCGGCAGTGGTAGAAGTAGAGCAAGTAGAGCAAGAAGTAGTCGTAAGATGAAAGGAGGAAAGGGCAATCATTCCACTACTAGTAGTACCGGTACCGGTACTGGTACCGGTAGCGCTGATGGTGCGGCTTCCGCTGTCTCAGACATCAGTGAAGGCGATCAATTCGACCCAGCAGTAAGGGACGCCCTTGTGAAAAGGGCGGAAGCAGAAGCCTTACAATGCCAACAAGACCTTAAAATTACAGTTGCAAAAACCCAGCAAGAAGAAGAAGAAGACGCTGTCAAGAAACCGCCAGCCAAAAAGATGGTCCCTGGAAGCTCGTCTGCGGAAGCTAACCAGCATAAGCAGCAGCAGGCTTTAGGAGAAGCCAATCAAGTGAAAAACACAGAAGAACTAAAAGGAGACGAAATCATGACTAGCACTGCTAGCAACCAATTCATGCAGTTGGTGGTGGGGTTCAACGAGGCTGCCAAAATGGAAAAACATGAAACTGCACCAAATTCTGGTAATGATCCAAACCAGCCAAGTGCAGAAATTGCAGTACAACCAGAAAATGCTCAAGATGTTCACCATCCACATATTCACTTGATTGCAGCTGCAGCTGCAGCAACGGAACCACTCCCACAACTGCTACGCCACCATGGCTCGGCAGACACGGCTCAGCCTGGGGCCTTCCACAGAGATGGTCCTGATGCGCACTTGTACAACAACACTCCTGTCGCTACGCCACCAGAACCCAACAATGAATTCATGCCAAGCAATGCTGACAATCATGAGGGTTTGGTCCAGGCGAATGCCATCGATGATGATGATGTTGAGAATCTGACTCGAGCCAATCCAGTCAATCTGGCCGAGCGAGAGCAAAAAGAACTGCAACAGGAAAAGCAACAAAAAACGTTTGTGTTTATTCTGATTTCGGTTGTTCTTGCTGCTGCCGCTATTATTGGGACTGTTGCCGGGACAAGTAACAAGGGAGATGAGGTTGTCATCCAAACAGCCGCCCCAACAGCCTATGGATCCATGGAGCCATCAGGGGTGCCATCCATGGCTCCAACTGGAGTGCTTGACCTTCTATGGAGCAACCTACCTGTGGAAACTCAGGAAAGTCTCGAGACTTACGGGACTCCTCAGTGGAAAGCATTTGATTGGGTTGGCAGGCATCAAAACATTACGAATTTGCCAGAGTGGAGAAAGATGCAACTGTTTGCGATGGCCACCTTCTTCTATTCCATGGAGGGTGTGAACTGGTGGTGGCCGATCAAGGAGCGGTGGATGATTGACACTATGGATGAGTGCTTGCGGTTTTCAGAAGCATTTGGCAGTTTTGACAGGGGGGCAGATGGCCTTGCTAACACAGGGGATGAAGGGGAGGGCACTTATTATGAGGACTTTTTTCAAATACCACTTGTAAATTGCAATGATCGCGACCAGTTGACCAAACTATGGCCAGGACCACTGGGTCTTCAAGGTTTAGAGCCAGTTGTTCCACCAGAGATTGGATTGCTCACATCATTGGAATCTCTCAGACTTGTTGGACTTGGCACCAAAGTAACACTGTTTGACATGCTCGCTCCAAAAGTACTTGAACTGGGAACATTCCGTGCACTTGACATAGCCAATGGACTTGGAGGGACCATACCAACGGATGTGGGTGTGCTATTTGCCAATTTGACAAGCCTGGAATTGATCAGGAACTCATTCTCAGGAAGTCTCCCAACTGAGATTGGTCTCCTCACTGGCCTGGAAGGTCAATTCAATTTGAACAGCAACAATATTTCTGGTACAATTCCTACTGAGATGGCAGGCCTTACCAATGTAGGCACTTTTTGGATGTCCGGAAACCCTTGGGTTGGCCCCATTCCAAGCGAGTTTGGAACTCTGTCTAATGCAGATGCTTTTTCCTTTGACCGCACTTTCGTGTCTGGCTGGATTCCAAGTGAAATAGCATTGATGGAAACCCTAGAGGCGATGTTTTTGGATAGCACTTTGCTGACTGGTCGGATCCCAACTGAAATTGGTAGGATGCCCTCTTTGGAAAGGATTTCTTTACATGATAATAGCCTCTCAGGCTCAATCCCTTCTGAACTGGGCCTCCTTTCCAAGCTTTGGCACTTGGATCTGTCCAATCTAACGCTCTTGACTGGGTCCATTCCACCTGAGTTGTCCCGCTTAACAGGGGATTTGCTTCTAGAAGGAAGTGGGCTTTCCGGTACCATCCCAGAAGGCCTGTGCTTCTTGCAGGATGAGGCTTGTAAAAATACTTTTAACATTCCTCCATATGGGGAATGGAGTTTGCCTTGTTCACTCACCTTTGATTGCACGGAAAGACTTTGTGGTTGTGATTGTCCCTGCACAGTTGGAATCAATCATACAACCATATGAGTCCCTTGCCTGTAAATGTACATCATTTAGTTTTGGATTTTTAAACTGTGCTTGGCTATTCTATTTCTGTCGCTCGAGCTGTTGAAGCTGTACTCTAAACCCGAAAGAGGGGGTTTAGAGTATTAAGGTGGACGCCCATTCGTAATAAGCCAGCTTCAAGCTGTGAATAAATACTGGTGTGCACCGCCCGGATTATCGCGAGAGATCGAGTGAAATAAGAATGAATCGATCGAACGAACAGCTGCTGCTAAAGGTGTGTTGTAATCGCTGTCGAGCACAGGTATCGGACTATTGTATACCCAAGTAGTGTCTGTTATAGTGTTCCCAAGGTGTAAGCGATGGGTATTCCGTGATGTCGGTAACCCCTGTTATCATTCTGAGCCATCGGCAGAATGGTGTCGAACGGCGCATTCTGCTGCTTGCAGTCGATAAATCTCGTTGCCCGCTTCAGGTATTGCCCTGCAACCATACACTACTCTCTTCCTTACACTATTAGCAGCAGATAAATGTATGGTTGTAGGGCATTATAATCAGCAGGCGGCGAGAGAATGAGGTCTCTAACAGTGCAAGTGTTGTTTTGCGTCTGATAGCACTTTTGTTTGTTCCTCGGAAAGGAGAGGGAATCTCGCTTTTCGATCAGTCACAATTCGAATCTTTTGAAATTCTCGTTCGAATCCGGTGAGTGAGACCAATCCGTGTTCTTTGTACTATTTTAGTATAGGAGGCAATTCGGCGAGCCGGAACAGCTGACTAAAATGTGAGGCCAAAATTTGAATATTCTCGTCCCCCTCAGTTGCCTTTGCTCAGAAAGCCCAGAATTGGAAGCATTTCTGCAATCTCTCCGTACTACGAAACCAAGATCGTCTCCGTACCAAACAAACGATGAACTATTGTTACCGCTTACAGTGCTCACGAAGCTAGCCAACTACTTGTAGCTAGCAAGCTAGCCACATAAAGGTAGCTAAATAGTATTGTGTGCATCTCCCTCATCATCAGAGCTGTCGAGGTCTTCCTCATCTGATGTGTCATCATCTACTGTCAATCCAGCAAGATGCTCTGTTCCAGGCACAACAGTGTCAAAGGGGAGCTCCTCTAGAAAGGCCAAATCATTGGCTCCATCATCTTTCATAGCCAGAACATCTTGAGCCACAGAATCCTCAACAGTTTCCTGGTTGATTGTGGGCAAAGAAGCAGCAGCACAAGTTGGCCCTTGTGGAGAGGCCTCAGCCACAATATCAGCTAGCTTTTTGCCAGTTTGCCTGCAGAAAATTGGTGGAGCTTCAATGTCACTCTTGCCAGCGTGCAAACAGGACTTCTTGGCCTTCTTGCTGACATGACCAGCCCTGCCGCAGAAAGGACAATACTGCTTTGCTTTCTTTGCTTTCTTATGAACTGGAGGCATCGACCTGAGATCCTCCATTGTGACGTCCGCCATATTGATTCCCGAATGGTAAACGCCCGAGTTTTTTGCAAACTTGGTCTTGAAATCTTCCGTTGCGTTGGCTAGTTTTTCATTTTTCCTCTTCTTGCGTCCCTTTTTGTAGTCAGTCGTCTTCTTCCTGGCTTGTCGCTTCTCCCGGTTTCTTTGCACAATGCCCAAGTAATGAGTCAATTCGTCTGTCATGTCGATTCCGAGCTTGAACAGTAGCCGCCGATAGAATTGCTCATAGCCAATCGAATGGATGCAGACCGCAATACCAAGGCGATTGCCAAGGGAACAGGAGCTCGCAAAAACCTTGTTCTTCGGAGCAAACCAGGTCGCCAAGCTATTGAACGATTCGTTGGCATTGGTATCCAAGCCGTGGGCCAATTCCTTCAACCGCTGCAACGTAATGTATTTCGAAACAATTGCATCCAGTAGCTGGTAGAGTTCCAAATCATCCTCCTGCGTTCTGTACACCTTCTTGCTTTTCTTTTGCTCGTCCTCCGTCTCTTTTGATCGAGCACACCAAGCTCCACAGTTCGTATGATTGTCAAAGTGGTGATCTAACACCGCCTTGCCACGGCTTTCGAATTCAGCTTCCTCGATGTCTTGGAGCGTACGAATAAAATAGGCAAAGTTCTTGCCAATACGGATAGAATCCATTCGGCACATCCCCTTCTTCTTTTCGACTGTCGACAGATCCAAACGGATCAGCTCACCCGTCAACTGTTTGCGGCGGTGGTTCGGATCCGCCACAAACTTTGGTTCTGGGATATCACCGGGTAATTTGCCTTTGTCAGGGCGTTCCTGGAGCTCGCCCTTATTCTTCCCTTTCGTGATCTTGACCATGGGAAGAACGTCGGTCTGATAGTTGATTTTGTAGTTAGCATTGCTCCATTGCAAGTCAGCTCGGATGGATGAGTCGTCGTCACAGCACAATCGACGCAAGATCACTTTCAACTCTCG